CCCCATAGCCAGATGCGTAAACCACTCAGCTATCCAGCCAGCACAGTTTTCTTATTCCTCTGTTTCCCCTATCTGCAGGATCGGTATCTGCTGATTCAATTATCCACAGCCTGAAAATGCTAAATAAAAAAACCCAGAAATACGGATACCACAGTCCTAGACTGCATAAAACTAAGGTGTGTTTTGAAAGCATGAAAAACACAGTGTCCTTGAGCTGTGCTTTGCAGACAGGAAAAGCTGTTGCATGGAACCAAGCTGCGCTTTGCGGGCAGGAAGGCTTTTGTACTGGAGCTTCATCAAGAAGAAGAATGCATTGAATTGAGCCATGCTTGCTTGGAAAATGTTTGTATTGGTGAAGATCCAATGCCTCGTTGACCCTTCGTTCTGCCTTATGTCCTTAGTCCTACCCAGGACTAGTATGTTGCTCCTAAAATGCTCCCCGAACTGGAAATCGGGTCCCAGGTGGAAAGTTTGTCCACCCATTCCCAAACCATGGACTTCTTAGTTCTCAGACCTCTGCAAGGTATCCATTGCACAAATGAGTCAGAGCAAGAATATACATTGGGAGACAACTGGAAAGAGTTGGTTGTGTTCACTGTTTCTAATAGAAGGTTGTATCAAGCATGCACCAAACCAGTGGCATTCGACAGAGTTTGGAATGGTTACATTTTTTGACTACAACTCCCACAATCCCCACTGTGGGTTGATTCTGTGGATAATAGGCCAGAGAACTAATTTTTCAATACTGTGGTATTGGTTATTGTACTACTTGTTGTTTTTATATGCTGTCAAGTCACCCCCAACTTATGCAACCCCGTGTCCTCAACCATCCCACTCAGCTCTTGCAAAGCCAAGCCTGTGGCTTCCTTTAGGGAGTCAATGCATCCCCTATATCGCCTTCCTCTTTTCCTGCTGCCTTCCACTTTTCCCAGCACTGTTGTCTTTTCCAGGGAGTCCTGCCTCCTCATGATGAGCCCAAAGTAGGGCAGCCTCAGTTTTGACATTTATGCCTCCAGGGATCGTTCAGCCTTGACTTGCTCTAGGACCCACTTGTTCGTCTTTTGGGCACTGCAGGGTATCTGCAAAGCTTTCCTCCACCACAGCATTTCAAATGAATCAATTTTTCCCTGTTATAGCTTTCTCTATTGTCTGGCTTTCCCCATCCATACATGGTGATTGTAACACTTATTCGTTGGTATATTCACCATCTCTGAAATATTCTTCTTTAAGCAACAGCGGTTTGTGTCTGCTTGCATCTGTGCAAGATTAACTCAAAGGATGCGGGGAGTAGAATCAAATCACATCTATGAAATTTGTGTATAAATTCCCATTCATGAGACTGTAGAGGTTGCACTCCGTTGTGGGCTGCATCCTTCACTTTGAACCTTCTTCCCAATGAGTGCCTGAAAGTGTGATGGAAAATAGCTCTCCTCTCCCCAGGCCCGAGACTTAAACTGAGCCCTTTCTCTTGTTTTTCTTCCTAACAGGATTCTATTCTCCACTCCTTTTGGTGTGATCTCCTATATCCTCATCTGGTATGTGCCTGACATCTCTCAAGGGCAAGTGATGTGGTATCTTTTCTTCTACTGTGTTTTCCAGACGCTTGTGACGGTGAGTCTGCCTCTTGTTTTTTAAAGGGCCCAGCCTGGGTTTTGCTTTTCACCCTTTTCTGTTTTCTTTTGACATCCTCTCCGCCAGGATTTTGTTTTTATGGCTTATTCTGTGCAGCTCTTGATCCATCACCTTCAAGCCAGTTTGTAGATCATGGATGGAGAACATGCGGTTCTCTGAAGACCAGATGGAAACTCCATCATTTCTAACCATTAGATAGTCCAGTAACATTTGAAGATCCACACTGCTAATGTAGATGAACGATGGGGAGCCCTGCTATGATTGTAGGGTTTGCAGACTGCAAAAGCTGGTCTGGAAAGAGGAAAGCGCTGACCCAGGGGTTGCCAGCCTTGGGTAACCCAGCACAGCTGGTGGTGAAGGCTTCTGGGAGTTGCAGTCCAGGAACACCTGGGTTGCCCAAGGTTGGGAACCACTGCACTAAAACCTTAGCGGTCTATAGACAATCTAAACCTTTGGCTTACTGAATCTGAACAAAATGTGGCCTGAGGTACGTGTTCGTTCCGGGCATTGTGGGCACTTTTTTGGACCACCAGTCTACTATTCTAAGTCCTGCCTACTTCAAGTCTGATTTAAAGATTATAGCACTATATGAAAGGATCTTGAAATGGTCCATCATCCTCAGCAATCAGCATTTGTGTAGTAGACTTGGCAGGGCACAAGTCATACGGACTGAGTTTTCTCCACTCATAAGACACAATTCTCTTAAAAGTGCAAGAAATATTTCTAATTTTGCACCTATACAGTACATTTGCAAAACTAGAATATTTTGCAATACTGTGCAAATCTGCATTATCTTTTGTGCGCTCTTTTTATTTATTTATTTATTGCATTTTATATCCTGCCTACTTTTGTAACCGGCCACCTCAGTTAAGAATTCCAGCATGTATCAAACGCCAAAACCTTGTTTAACTGCTTATGTTTGTCACCAATTTCTCATTGTTCCTTCATAATATGGCATCTGCTTTGCACAGGGGCAAAAGTTACTTATGGGATAACCGCATTCCCAGGATCCCCCAGCCAACATAGCCAGTGTCACTTTTCCAAGTGTGACATTCTTTTCTGTCTCTTGTTCCTGCAGACAGAATGGCATGTTTGCTTATTCTTAGGTAGCCAGAAGTTGGGAGTTCGATTCCCTCACTGTGTCTCTTTGACAGGGGCTGGACCCGATGATCCACAGGATCCCGTCCAGCTCTGCAATTCTAAGATTCATTTATTCATTTATTTAAAATATGGATATCCCATCTTTCACCTTAATAAGGCAGCTTATAATAGTCAATATTTGAAAGCTAAAAAATGACATTCTTACAGTAGGACCATGGCATCTGCAGGAGATTTGTTCCAAGCTGCCCAGGCCCCCGCAGATGTTTAAAAAAAACCATAGAAGTATCAAACACTATACATTGCATGGTCTTTAGTGGACAATTCTAGTAAATACACCCCATAAATACAGATAAATATATACAGTATATACATATAAATATGTATTTCTGGGGGGGAATACTTAGTATTTTCAGGCAGCTGATAACTGAATCAGCAGATACTGATCCTGCTGATAAGAGGGTCCCGCTGTATTTTTAAAAAGAGTTCAATAGCTATCAAATGAAGAACGGGTGGATAAAAACAATTCGGTGTTCTGTGTTTATGAGGTTCTCAACCTTTTTTTCTTGCTTCTTTCTCTCTTGCAGTGCTTCCATGTGCCCTACTCCGCGCTCACCATGTTCATTAGCAGAGAACAAAGCGAGCGAGACTCAGCCACCGCCTACCGTAAGGGTCTCCTTATTCTCCGTGTACCAGAGGCTGATGCTTCCTTCCAATGGCTCCTTATGCCACTTGGTCCATCAGATCAGGAGCAAATGTGCTCTGAACAGAGGGAGTTCCTCTTTGCTCCTCCTCTGTTGGAACAAGAGCCTTAAGGGCCCAGTGTCACTGCTGGGAGAGCTGCAGGAACCCGGGTGACGTGTCCGACCAGCCTTACACGTGCAGGCTTGAGCGTTCGGGCTTATGTCTCTGCCTGCTCCAGTGGGCGGTCTAGAAACAGGCTCATGACTCCAAGTTGATGTTGGTACATGCCCAAAGGTAGACACGGCAACCCAAGTAACCTGTTAAGTCATTGAGCCGTCTTTCTAGACCATTCTTTTTCAAAGAATCTGCTCTGCAGAGCTGCTGCTTCTCATTTCCACCAGGACCGGTCCAACCATTGGGTGCAGTGTGGCGTCCTCCTTTGGCAGAATCAGGGTAGCAATGAAAAGGCAACAACAACAAAAAGCTATCCGATATTCAATTGTCTTTTTTTTTAAAGCCCAGGGAGAGCTGCTTATGGGATTTTCTAGCTCAAATGAGAAAATAATTTGGTCGGCTTTGATCTCTGGGCACCTGCGCTTGGAGGGAGTTGTGTAATTCAAGTTGGCATCTCAGACAGCAGAACGCCTTATGGCGATCCTGCTTTAAATTTTGCAGTTGTGGATTGTTCAAGATGGGAGCCTAAAGGGCAAGAGGAGTTTGATCTTGACACTTTGGGAAGCCACGTTTGCAACACAACACAGAACGCTTCGCTTTCTAGGTTATGAAGGATGAACCTCCCACCCAGATCTTTTCTCCCCATAAAAGATCAATAGTCGTAACTTTCTCAGTCTGCCCAGCTGATCTTCTCTAAACTTCTGCAAGTCTGATGCCCTTGGGGGGTCTCTAAAAGAGAAGGGGTGCTACTGAGATAAGTGTCTGAATAAATGAGTTCTCCTCTATTCACATTTCCTTAGGACCTTTCTACATAGGCAGAAGTAATAGAGACCACAGTTCTGGGTTATATTTGTGAAAAGTGTAGACATTATGTATATGTGTGTTTGGGCATCCTTTTTTGGAATGCTTCTATATGTTGCAATAAAATATACTGAAGATCAGCCCAGGCTAAACCTTTTCCCCTGACACGTGACATAGCCATTAATAGGGGGTTTTTTCCCCTCAAAAGAAATGTTCAAAATATCTACACTTATACCTGTAAATTGAGTCAGGGCAACTGGACTTCTTTCTTTTAAGGTTGAAATGTTTTGCTACTCATCCAAACAGCTTCTTCAGAAGAAAGCAGTCCAGTTGCCATGACTCAGCTTCCAGATAACCACTCCTGGATGACTGAGAATCTTTACAAATTTATCCACACGTATATCTCTCATTTGCAATCTGGGTAAAATACACAGGACTTGGAAGTAAATAGTTAAAAGCAATTCAGTTACCTGTAACAGTTTACTTTTGCTTCAAGAAGCAATGTAACTAATATGTAAAAAGTTACTTTCTACATTTGAAAGTTATTTTTAAAGGCATCGAAGTCATTTTAGAGGTATTTTTAGCAGTATAATTCAGGTTTTTCTAATCTATTTTGATGTTTGTGTTTCTGAATTTCCAAAGTGCAGTAACAGAATTGGCCACTAGAGAAAACCAAAGAGTATTTCTCTGTATTTGTCCCATATCAATGGCATTAGAAATATAATAATGATGACGTAAATAGCTGACACATTGCTACTTCTTTATGATGTCCAGAATCTGCTGCCTAAAGCATCCTCATTCCTCCAATGGGAGGAATTACATTAATTAATTAATTAGGAATTAATTCTCTGCTTACCCAGAGAGTATGTCTGTTACCCTGACCGTGGGTTGTGTGTTTTTCTCTACAGGCATGACAGTGGAGGTGCTGGGCACAGTCTTGGGAACAGCCATCCAAGGGCAGATTGTTGGCAAAGTTGACACACCGTGCATTCCTGACCCACCGTCGATAGACATTGCCAACAATTCGTCTGTGGCTTGGGAGGAGCTCAACATCACCCACGACACAGGTTCACTCACGGACACGGTACGTCCCCCCCCCCGATCCTGTCTGGTGGAGAGAATAATACTGAGGAAACTGGCACAACTCTGGTCTGAGGGCTTGTAATCTCTGAAATAGACTATCGCAATGCTCTCTGCATGGGGCTGCCCTTGAAGGCAGTTCAGAAGCTGCAAGCAGGTGCAGAACGCAGCTGCCAGGTGGGTCTCTGGTACATCACAATATGATCTTATATCTCCTGTCCCAGCTCGTCAACACTGCCGCCCAGAATAGTGGCTTTGCCACTAATTTGGGTAGGGAAAAAAGGTAATTATAAAAATAAAATAAACTCCATCTCCCAAATGTGAGTGTACAGGAAAGAACCCATCCTTCTGCTATGGCAGCATCAGAGTAACTGCCCAGAAAATCTAGTAAATGATTATGGAGACTCCACGTTCAGAAGTAATCTACCAGTAAATATTGGCTGCTAAGAAGTGGAAGAGGCTTTTTTGTCTCAATGCCCTGCTGATGGGCTTCCAAGAAACCTTTGGCTGCTATGCCGAAAACAGGATGTTTGACCCAGTTTGGCTGCTATGGTCTGTTTGTCTCAGATCTGTTTAAATTCAACCCTGCTGTCGGATGGTACTTAACTGGAGACACAGGAATCCAGTTTGCTTCTGGAATATTTGTCCTGCTTAAATTGTTTGTCTTGTTTGAGAGCTTTTGTTTTTGTTATTGAACATGCCATCAAGTTGCTTTTGACTCATGGTATACGTGTACAGTAGATGTTTTGAACATTTCTTTTGGAAAAAAAACCCTGTTAATGGCAATCTCATATGCCAGGAGAAAAAGTTTAGCCTGAACCACTCTTTTTCTGTTGCCTTCCACTTTTCCCAGCATGATTGTCTTGTCCAGGGAATCTTGTCTTCTTTTGATGTGCCCAAAGTCCATCAAATGATCTGCCATCCTTTTTACCTCCAGAGATAGCTCAGGCTTGACTTGATCTAGGACCCACTTGTTCATCTTTCAGGTAGTCCGGGGTATCTGCAAAGTTTTCATCGAGCACCGCATTTCAAACAAATCTTTTTTTTTTCCTGTCAGCTTCCTTGACTGTCCAGCTTTCAAAGCCTCACATGGTGGATTGGAAGTAAAAGAGTGTGGATGATCTTGGTCTTGATCTCCAGTGAGCTTTAAGCCACAATTTATTCAGTTCTTAACGGATTTTCTCTTTCCAGTTTTCCTAAATTTACTGCACACAATCCCAAAGGAAGAGTGTATCATCTTTAATTTCTTCCCTCTTAAGAAAAGTATAAGTACTGTGTCAGTCCCCTTGCAGCTCTCTGGAGCTATTGTCTGTTGAGGAGCGGTGGCAATTTGTATCAGCAGAAACAGGGAAATGCTTGAATTCAAAGATCTGGATTCAAATTCTGAAGCTGTTACGAACACGTGCTGGGGACTCATCACTATCTCACTAACCTAGGTTCTAATTTGTAAACTTTGTGTCATTTACCCAACGTCCTGTTTGTCTGATCAGAGTTTTAACCTTGAATAACTACAGTCTTCCGAGACCAGGTTCATGATTCTTATTGCAGACTAGAATTTTGTCCTGAAAGCATGCATGGCATGGGGTAGAGGAAAACTATATTTTTAGCTGTTCAGTGGCAACAGAGCTGGTATAATGCAGTTACAGGAATGGCAGACCCCCAGATCTGCATGTGAACATGGGATTCTCCTGTTGGACAATAAATGCAAAATGGTAAGGCCAGTTTGTGTCTTATCTTCTAGGCACCCTCATACAACCCTTCAGGATATTTTTTTTCAGGCTGGGTTTATATGAAAGAAGTTGCTCTTGCACTGATTTGTTTTGCACAATTGTGGCATTATAACAGGGCTCGGATGTCCTTGGTCAAACAGTGGGATACAAATATAATAATAATAATTGAAAAGCTCTTTCTTTGCTTGGTGGCTTTCTTTTTGAAGTGAACAACAGAGCTCTTAGTACTGCTGTGTTGCTAGGCAACTGAACAGTCTGTTGAAAAGGGTCTCGATTTGAACCCCTTCATCTTATACGTATGTGCATCTTTTCTCTCCATCATCCTTCCCCCCCCCTTGCTTCTGCAGAGAAATGCCTACATGATAGCAGCTGGTGTCATTGGTGGGATCTATATTCTCTGTGCTGTCATCTTGTTTCTGGGAGTGCGAGAAAGGCGAGGTAAGCAAAGTAAAGTAACTTATACAATCTCTTTGAAGTAACAAAATGGAAGTCCCTGGAAAAGGAAAGGCCAGGCATAAATGATCCAGGAAGCAATTTGGACGACAAAAAGATATTTGTGCATAGAGATAGGAATGGTTCGGTGGTTTGTGCTGGTTCGTTTTTTTTGTCCGAACAGGGGTTCGGCGCTTTCCAGCCCTGCCTCCTCAGACTGAGCACCTGCTGGAGGAGGCAGGGCTGGGAAGCACTGAACACTTGTTTGGACAAAAGTGAACCAGTGGGTCACCCATCTCTATTTGTGAGTCAACACTGGTTGATGGGGAACAGGTCCGTGGCCTTCTGCGTACCAACCATAAACTCTGCAATTGGTCCTCTTGTGATCTAAAGGGCCCCTGTTTTCTTAGCAAATGCTCCAAAAATACAGCGTGGCCTTCTGCGTACCAACCATAAACTCCGCAATTGATCCTCCTGTGATCTAAAGGGCCCCTGTTTTTTAGCAAATGCTCCAAAAATATACTCCATAGGTTACTAAACCCTCCAAAGCAGGTTTTGGAAAACCCTCCAAAGCTGGGTTTTCTGGTTCTCCTAAGAATGTTTTGGGTGCTGGAGAAGGCACTGTGATACATGACTGGTCAAAAAAGCCATTGATGCCACACACGTATAGATTTAGACCTCAGATTCATTTTCTTTAACCCCTTGCTGACTACACAAGCCCAATTCTTTGTCTCTTGTGTTGAGCAAAAGAAGGTCTTACAAAACTCTTTCCTCTTGGCTTCTTGTGACATTGACATTCCGGCTTCTCTGTCCATGAGCTACTCCCACTAAATAATGGAACAGACTCTCAGGGGAGCAAATGACCATGTAGATAAGACAACAAGGTCCCACTGCATAAACCCAGCCTCACCAGACTCCAGCATCTCATGGGAAAGCCCCCACATTCTTTCAGGTTCCTGTCAACCATGGTGGGGAGAAGCTAACTCTTGTGTTGTCCTCTCTAAAATGACCTCATTGTGACCCTAACTCCTCTTGAGCCATCTAATTGTGAGCCATTGTACTTCAAAGTATGCTGGAGGCTGCAACTGGAGGAAGTTTATGCAAAAAAGCCATTCCCCTGGAGCACATATCATCACCTAAGATAACCAGGCCCATTATCACTCATAAACATTGAACTTCTGAGAAATAATAATCTGCATACATTATATCAACCAACAGCCTTAAGCTGAAGAGGAAGCTTTTTTCTCAAAGCAATGAGATATTTCCTAACCTTTCTGCAGAAAGCATTCTCTCTCTCTCTCTCTCTCTGTGTGTGTGTGTGTGTGTGTGTAATTTAGCACAGAAATAATGGAGAGACACCAGACAAATTATAAATCAATTTGTGTAACCTAAATAAGGGGCAGAAAATCTTGTCACCAAGCCTGTGTTGGATCCAGGCAATCACACTGATGACAGGTTCCCTTCCCTTAATGTACTTGGTTAGAAATGTATATTCACTTGGTCACTCTGACCATCACACATATTATATGAATGGATATACTGTAGTTACTGTCTTTTAACTTTTCCCTGCCAAGAGCTGAGAAAGAAAGCCTATTTCCCCATGTAGCAGGAGGAAAACTCTTATATCTGATCAGCACCTGCTGATCAGAGGTAGAAGCTTTCATACTGAATGCTGAGAAAAACTTGCACGCTCAGTTTGAACAATCTCCTATCTCGACTGGCTTCTTATTAGATGGGAAGTCTGTGGGCCTCATCTGGCCCTCCAGGCAGAAATTCCTCCATGGCTGACTTCAGTATTTGAGAAAGTTGAACATCCATTCAAAAAATGTAGGTGGAAAGAATACAGAAGAACCATCTCTTTGACAGTTGGAATATGCTGCAATGTGGAAAATTGCATCACTTTTAAATTGCACAATGTGATATACAGTACTTGATCTAGAGTTTTTATCTACTGAAACTTGTTAGTGTATGTGTGTTTGGAAATAGGGATGGAGGAGGGAACCCACAACGAGCAGGGGTTTGGATGGTTGCGTGAGGAGATTTCCATGTTGTCATCCAAGAAGAGAAAGATATTTAGCCATCATATCCCACTCTAAGCTACTCTGCAACTGAAAAGCCACAGGTAACCATGGCAGTCTTCTTGCCAACCTCACAGTGGGAGTAATTAATACCCAACCCGGTGCATAATAAAACAAGAGTACTTCATAGTATGGCTGCAAACACACAGGCTGATGGTGTCTATTACAAAGGTCTAGAAGCATGGACTTGAGTTCCAGTTCTGACTTGGGTGTTTCCCCCTGAGCACTCATCCTCTTGTCCAGGAATCTCCCAATTGGAGAGCTGGCATCGGAGTCAATCTTGAAGAACTCCAGAACAATCTGAAGAACATTCCTGCATTTCTGCCTTGGCACAGATCTTGAAGTCTCACAAGGATTTCGACACCTCTGCCAAGACTTGTCTCGTCAGATCCAGCAAAAGGCCTCTGTGGTTGGCATGGCAACCATGGAGAGCTGCCTCAATTGGGCCGGACACGTATTGACTTAATTTTTTTGCAGCATAGCCAATTGCAAGTGAGAAGGGTCACTCAAAACAGCTGTTCATTGATAGAGATTGTGAGATAGGGAGTGGAGATGAGAAAAGTCACTAACGTGAGCACCTCTCCTCTTAAGGGGATTACGGAAGGCTCCTTGGTTTTCTGAGAAGCTCTTTGTCCCATTTCTGGGTCCAGATTCTGTTTCTAGTTGCCACTAAAAGGTGGGTTGATGTGAAAATACGTTGACTTTTTGGTTTGGTTTTGCTCTCCAGAATCCTCAGAGCTCCAGTCGGCCGAACAGGCTTCCTTCTTCGAGGGCTTGAAGCTGGTGATGAAGCATGGCCCCTACATCAAGCTGATTACTGGCTTTCTCTTTACCTCTTTAGCTTTCATGGTAAAGTTTTCCTGCCTTCCCTCCAGGCGATAAATGTGTTCCCTTTACTCAGAGATGAGATATTTTTATTATTCCTGGTACTCAAAATGATGCAATGTTTTCTGGCTAGGAAAATCTGAATCCTTGCATTCACTCCATGCCACGCCACTAGTTCTTTTATTCCATTGTGAATAATGCAATAAAATGCTAGGCGTGTATCTTTTTATTGAGTTGAATAAATGTGTTCTCGGATAGGTATCAATGATTGCCAGGACTGTTTAGAATTCTTCCAGTGGATTTTTGTGTTACTTTCCCAGTCAGCTTATTCCACTGCTAACTTCTTGGCATGCTGAAGAGATTTCATCCTAAACATTTTATCCTGTGCTTTGAAACAGAGGTTTCTGCCATGCGTCATTCTCACTGAGGTCGTAGACCGAATGTACTGAGCTGTATCCCTTGAGATGGCACAGGAGAGCTTGCATGCTAGAATTCTCCTTCAAATAGTAAACATTCCAGGCATCTAGAAAGCTAGCAGGTAGTCCAATTATTTCTTTGACTTTCTAGATTTCTTTGTGCATTGATTTTTTCCTGTGTGAAAGAGCACTCAGTTGCTGATAGAGGTGGCACAGCCAAAGCACATGTTTCAGCATGAGAGGGAGGGTTGTGCTAACTCTTCTTTTGGCTTAGCTTCCCACAGATCCCATTAATTTCCTTCCTAGAGCTGAAAAAACTGCTGAAGCAAAAGAGTGGAGGAGGATGGTTCCAATGTCAGCAGAGATGTGCATTTGCCTTGCTTTTTGCAGTTATGCTGAGTGCTAAACCCTACCCTTAATATAGAACTGGCACTTGGATAGCTCTAAAAAAATCGGGACTAAAGTCGGGAGCAGTTTCACTGCCCCACGGATATTGGAGCCGCTAGCCTCTGCTGGAGCAAACCTCGGGAGGAAAGGCAGGGAAAAATATTTTAAATAAAATAAATAATCATAAACAAGCAGTAAACTGGGTGACATAAGTGTTCTTGAGCGGCAAGGAAGGCAATGAAAAATCTGAATGGGGTCAAAAGGATTTTCTGCAGTGTCTTAGAAGATGCCAAAGCAAAATTCTCTTAAGTGATAGATCCCTTGATCCACTTTTCTGTTACCGGGAGGAAAACTTCAAAGGTTTGTTCTAAGATAAGCTCAACCTAGGAGTGAACTTTAGAAGTGTTCTGAGGTGCCCTAGAAATCTCATTGAGCACCAGGCGGAGGTTTGATCCTGTAGGAATCAAAGACACTGCAGCTATAACACCAACAGGAGGAAAAGGAAGAGCAAAAGTATACCACCTCCTGGTACACCTTCCCAAAGGGACCTGTGGTTTCACCGTCCCATCGTGGCACATCAGATTAGCAGATAGACCTGGATAACATCAGCAGGAGAAGGCTGTGGGCTCCGAATGGGAGATGCTTCCTATGGCGTTGAACAGTTTATAGAATTTGTTCCCCTGGCAACCCTTGCTGTTCTGCTAAAGGAAGCTGCATATTTCTGGGCTTGGAGGTTTGAGGATGTTTTTTTAACTCTATGGGGTTTTTTTAGCTTTTGCTTTTTTTTTGCTTCCAGTTTTCTTGTGAAGAATGACCTCGCTTCTCTGGCCTCCGGAAATTTGCTTTCTTTCCCATCTTTACTCTGCTAATTATTCACACAGCCGTCTCTTTAGCCCATACATCAACCCGCGGGTTCCCAATAGAGAAGTATCTCCTTACACACCTCTGTTTCTGGAGTGATACAGGGACTTTGTCCATGCCGGTACTTGCACTGTGAGGCAGGAGAACGTTACGGGAGGTTGTCAAAGTGTCAAACTAGGTCTCTGCCCAGACAAAAATTCAAATCCCCGCACAGCCTTGAAGCTTTGCCAAGGGGGCTCCAGATAACTGCTCTCCCATCGCCAAACCTGCTTCACAGGGGTGTCATGATATGGAGTTACCCTCTCTTCGCCCCATTACACCACCCTGAGCAATTTAATTGATTTATTTATTGAAAATATTTTTGGAACTCTGGCTTGCACAAAATGAGGGATTTAGACCTTTGTTTCTGGGGTTTACTTGTTCTTTACTATCTACACCCAAATGCTGGTGCTCTATTTATTTAAAGCGCCTGGGTCATAGCCGAGCAAGAAACCTATTGACTTTAAAGCAGGTGTAACTGTTATTTTGCTGCAACACACTTAACACCTCTTCAAAAATTAACTTCCCTTGTTTTGCTGCTTTTCTTTTCAGCTCCTGGAAGGCAATTTTGCCTTGTTCTGTACCTATACTTTGGGTTTCCGCAATGAATTCCAGAATATTCTACTTGCCATCATGGTATGTATGTGAACAGCAGTCAGTGTGATTATCCTTTACTTTCTCTTGCTGTTTGTCTGCTCCTCTAGTAGCTTATTTTTGTGAGGAATAGGATAACTCGGAAATTTCTCCTCGGCCATGAAAACGTTCACCTAAAGAAATTTTATGCATCAGTGGAGGTGTCTATGTAGTGACAGGGACATGAACGTGGATTTCCTAGGTCCCAGCTCAAAACAGTTACATTTCTTTACATGTTCATTTAAAATATTTTATGTCATTTTTAATTAGAAACATCTCTGTGTTTTCTGATAAAAACAGATACAAGAAACTCATTAGCTAAAAACGTATCAAACGGCAATGAAACCATGAAATCAGTAAAACAATACTTGTTCAGAAGTGACAGAATAGCCAGCCACCTTCAAATATTTGAAAGGCTGTTCTGTGAACAATGGAACCAGCTTGTTTGCTGTGGCTCCCAAGTGTAGGATCCAAGGAAATGGATTCAGATAACAAGAAAGGAGATTTTGACTAAAACTTAGGAAGAACTTTCTGGCAGTAAGAGTTGCTCACCAATGAAATTGACTGTCTTAGAGAGTGGCAGACTCCTCCAACACTGGAGATGTTTATAAAGAGGTTGGATGGCCCTGTTAGGAAGATTATACCAAAAAAAGTATTCTCAAAGGCTTTCACGGCCGGGATCTGATGGCTGTTGTAGGTTTTTTGTGCTGTTTGGCCATGTTCTGAAGGTTTTTCTTCCTAGCGTTTCACCTGTCTTTCTGGCTGGCATCTTCAGAGGACACGAGTTAGAACTCTGTCTGTGTTCTGGTGTAGTGTGTGGGGTTTGCAGAACACAGACAGAGTTCCTACTCCTGTCCTCTGAAGATGCCAGACACAGAGATGGGCGAAGAAAAACCTTCAGAACACAACCAAACAGCTCAAAAAAACTACAACAACCATTATACCAGATTTCCTACATTAGAAAGGTTGCAAGGACCCTCAGAGTCCCTTTCAGATGGACAGTTCTATTATTCCATGAAAAATAGTTCATTAAAAAGTAGCATAAGGGAGTGGTTACCCTGACAATAAGAACTACTTTTGAATTGGGTTTTGCATAATTAAAATGGCTTAGAAAAATCTCGACTACACGACACACACAAAGCCTGCTCTTTTCCCCCCTGCAAAGTGAGCTTTTTTGAAGAGGCTGGCAGGGGCTTTTTAATTTAATACGCTTGTAAAATCTTTATGAACTGCTTTGGGCAATGTGAACACTCCTGTTGCATTAAATACCGCCTTTGTGGGCGGTCACAGGTTTCCGAAATAATGTCACTTTTTTTTAAAATGAATGCATTCCAAAGGATGCCTGAAAAAAATCAAAGAAACAGTGTACAACATTGAAAACAAATTAGAAAGAGAAGGTTGCAATCCTCGGAAATGCGCTGAGATCAGTGACAATGGAAACCATGCTGTCTGGAAAACATGCAGGTTTAACTATACGATTTAAAATCTCACATGCAGTTTCCCAACGCAGTTTAAAGCCCCTACTTTATATTGATGTAATAATTTTGAAAAGGAAAGTGCATAGCGATACAAAAACCATGTCACTAGAGATGGGCACGAACTGGCAGTTCATGCTGGTTCCTTTTTCGACCAAACAAATCTTTGGCGCTTCTCAACCCCGCCTCTTCTGACAGGCGCCCACCGGAAGAGGCATAGCGTGGAAGCGCCGAGCACACATTCCACTGAGAAACAAACCAGCAGCTCGTGCCCATCTCTGCACATTACTGTAAATTGATTTAAAACACATCAGAGCTAAAATCAACACATATCAGCAGTCTAACCACACCCTAACTTGCGCAAAAACAACAAGAACAACAGATATAGCTGAAAATGGTAAGAATCAGGGAAATAATTGATAGCAATGATCTTGTATGGCCATTTCTCTCCACTCATATCACAGAGTAGAACTGCCGGGACAAAAAGCAATGTGAGGAGTATGTGAAACATACAGGAGTACATGAAACATACACACACTCCTCCATAACCACAATAGAGGTAATTAGACCGTCTGATATAGTGAGGATGTTGAAGGATGGGCAACCTGAAAGGAGGAAAGGGCAGTTACTTAACATGGTTCTTGAAAAGATGGAGCCGGTTGGCGAGAACAGTAGATTCTTTGTTTTGCATTTGAAGCCGGCCATGAAAAGAGAGGAAGAATAAAAGCCATGTGAGCCTTTTGTCCTTGCCCTGCCCGCTTCCCCCCATACGTGCACACACATACACTCACACACTACTCTTCATCATGAGAAAAAAGGACACCAGCGTGTTTATCAGAGAAAGGCTTTGAATGAAAGGAATGGAGCCGATTTGTCTGGGAAAGCCTTTACGGGTTGATGGATGGAAGGAGAAGGAGGCAAGCAGGGTGGGGAGGGGGGTTGTGTTGTGAAACACTCCGTGGAGCCTGAAAGGGGGAGAACTACCTCCCTTTCCGTGCCCCTAACTGGGACTTGAAAGTGATTCTAGCAGTAATACAACAGGCAAAGAGGGTTTTCTCCATTTCCGCAAGAGTCAAGCTGCAGCCTCTTAGACAGAGCTTGAAAAAGCTGTGTATTTTTTGACTACAGTTCCTATAATCCCCCAACTAGTATGACAGACCAGAGATTGTGCTCCCAGAAAAAGTAGCTTTCCAGGTTCTTGCCCATTACATTCACAAACTAATTCACAAAGCAACGCATACCAACTTGCAGAAGGATCATTAATTCCCTTTGGGTTTTTTTTAAACAATCACGTCTTGCGTACAACATTTTAGTGCTAGATCACCTCCAAAATACCCAAAAAGATAAACACTGATATAAAATTGAAACAACTGCAATGAACTCCAGCACACTACAGTATTTCCAGGATATCTGTGTACATTTGTACATATATGTACAGAGAACTTTGGGAAACACTCCCTTTTCCCCTACTACCATACAGTCCCTTTAAACTGTCCCAGCGGCTCAACCACAGACTATAAAAGGAGAGCCGATGTTCGGCAGGAGGATGGTATCAAAGGAAGTTGGGCTGTGGATGTAGTACATCTCTGACTTGAGGAGCCAGTGTGGCCACCCTGAGTCTTCATGTGCTCACCTGAACTGAATGCATCCAGCTTATCAATGTCATCACACCCTCATAGTCTTAAGAAAGGAGAGGACTGGCCTTGAAGTCACCCATGAGACTGAGCCATAGGTCCTTACCCGTTCTACTTCTCTTTTACAGCCATTATTTGGATCTGTACCTCTACATTAGCAATGAAACATTCTAATGCAAATGAAAGTCTTCTTTCATTTGCCCCCTTTTTCTGATATTCTTGTTTGGCAATCTCTCAGTGGATGTCTTTCTTGCTCCATGCTATGAAGGAATGTCCAATGCCCGTAGTCTGAAATGAAGCAGTTCAGAATATGTATAACTCATTCTGTGTAAGGGGGGAATGAAATAGATCCTGTGGTCCCTTAGCTTATGTTAACAGGAAGGAAAGCAGGGCAGTTTTTCCCAGGGCTGTCTTCTTCAGATGTAGTAGTAGAATTTTGAGCTAGGTTGGAAGGCTTGGGTTCAAAACCTCATTCAGCAAGAAGCTTCTAGGGTGACCTTGGACCAGCCACATCCTCTTGCTTACGTCACAGGGTTGTTACCATAAGGATAGTGGAGAGGAAGAGAGGGGTGTGTTCCATCTTGAACTCAATGGAGGAAATGCCGAAAAATTGTTTGCCAAGATGATAGAATGAGAGAAGCAAGAGGAAAGATGTTAATCCATCTCCATTCTAAGAGCCATTAAAATACTGACACAGACAGTTTAAGACTTTGTCGGAGTGCTGCAGAATTAAAAAGGGCTGCAGAGAATCTCAACCAAATATTCGGGGGGGGGGGAGAATGTAGTTTTAAAAAAGCCCCTTGCAGGTGGCGGCTGCTCTATGTGGGTGGCCTCCATCATGCAGTCCTGTAAAGGATGATTTTTTTTCAAACCTTCTGGATCTGTGTGTGGTCTCCCAGCCGATGCAAACACATCAGGGCACATGCCTACATTTAGATGCTCTCCCTGGCTATGACTGAAGCTTACATGTGTTTTAGACGGCATGGTAGATGTTTTATAGTCCTTGCCGGACTTGCACCATCCAGCTGACATATCATCTGTGGAATTAAAAACTCCCAGTTTCAGTTATCTAACTGTGAGGGTTCAACTTTAGGCTCCTCTTTCGGCCCAAAGAAATCAGGAGATTTTTGCTGCTTCAAAACAGGTGAAACACTTATTGGTGCATTTAACCATAAACAAGTGTCCGTGACATGATTATGAGTCTTTTCTCCTTCTGCCATCGAGTCCGGAAGGGGTCTCCAATCTTCAAACAGGGACGGGTTGCCCTAACTATTGTTCCAGGGTCCCAGTCAATCGGCAGGGACCCAGTCTCTCTCTCATGGTCTGTGCCGTCGAACCTTCTAGCAAGGGCACAGTCTCGTCCTCCCAATCGCCATTCCACAGGGTTTGTGTCTCGGGGTCTCGATCCTCCCAGGATCCTCCCTGTAGTTCTTCTTCCTCATCTCTCTTATTCTCCATTCTACCCTCTCTCTGCTCTTTCCTTCTCTTCTCTCAACCTCCTCCTCCACCACTCTCTCGCCTCGGCTTCTCCCCAATAAGAGGATCTGTGTCACTGTAACAGTTCAGTGTCCAAAACAAATGCCAAGTTAGAACCTGAGAACATGGGCTGGGGAAAAAGGAACTTGACATTGGCTGACTTCATTTCTGGAAGTGCGATGCCTTTGTTTCAAAGATGCAGAGTGCTCCTCCTGTCTTTTCTGGAATATCCATTTTCTCAGACTGAGGAGGACCAAGTTTCAAAAGAAAAAGGACTCTCTCTCCTCTCAGGTCTCTGTCCTGGTCAGTATTTCTGGGTGTAGCACTTCACCTGTAGAAGCTGGGGTGGCAAATTGATCCAGTGCCCGGTCGTGTCCTGGATGCTGCAGGACCAGCGGCTAGTCAGCCGGCCATGGTAGCTTCTGCCGTTGGCGCTCTGCTCACACTTTGAAATATTGAGCAAAATGCTGGCCCAGCGGCTTGTTTTAGAAATAAATTTAAACAATGCTACCACCTTGGTAGCAAGCCTCTTAGACAGAGCTTGAAAAAGCTGTCTATTTTTTTGTTTAAATTTACAGAGTTCTACAGCTTTCATCTCTGCACCGCATCTACATGTTTATATGGGAGGAGAAATGGAGGGGAAGGGAAAGCCATGTGAGCAAATAAAACTAGCATGTTTAGACTTAAGCATGGTTTCTGCCTTGGGGTGAAGATGGAAGTGATAGCCTCCAGCCTTCACAAAAAAACTCTGGAAACTGGGCAGCAGTTCCCTTTCTCACAGGTGGTCCCAGAAAAGGGCTCCAGGCATAAGAGATGGGCGGGAGGAGTAAGCAGCCGTGCTATGAAACCAGGAAAACAGCAAGGCCAATTAGAGTTGGCCAGGTGAAAGTTGCCAGTATGTTGAGCATCAAGGCAGAGGGCAAGCGCAGAGAAAGCTTTTAGCTTCATGCTGGTTTGGGGAAGAAGACAGGAATATGTGGGTAGGCGTTGCCTAGGCTTGAACCACTGAATATTCTGGTACTGTGTCCGGATTTTGCCACTATGGACCCTCTAGAAAATAACTTCTGTGATCTTAAAACAGTTGTGTTCATGGTGTTCCAAAGAAGCATTTCCTCTTCCTTTCAGTGCATACTTATGAAAAGAGTGTGGATTCAAATCTGCAAGCATGAACAAGTGTGAAACTAGGGTTAACCGCTGCAGGATACAAGGGGCGTTTGAGGCCACCCTGGCCCTCACTCAGGACTGCTGGAAAGGTTGCCACTGGCTTGACTTCCTAATGAATGAATTCTTTCCAACCTGTGCTGGAAAGGTTGCCACTGGCTTGACTTCCCAATGAATTCTTTCCAACCTCCTTTGTTGCTCTCTTGCAGCTCTCGGCCACCTTGACCATCCCTTTTTGGCACTGGTTCCTTACTCGGTTTGGGAAGAAAACGGCCGTCTACATTGGAATCTCGGTGAGTCAAAATCTCCCCAAAGAGCGGCACGTCTGCTGCAGAGGTGGGTGCTTCTAGTGTCTAAGCAGGGTTGGACTACAACTCCCATTACCCCTAGTGTGCATAGCTAATAGTGAGTGCTGGACATTGTAGTCCAAACACTGTCCTAAGCTGAGACACATGGGTTTGAATATGGTAATCCTACTCTCCACTTTCCAGGATGCTTGAGAGGATAAAATCAGGTAATTTGACACTGTTTTTACATTACTTGGGGGAAAGGGGGGGAAACTTCATGATACAGAGCCATGATCTTAGTCCATTCAGCCAGTTTTTGTGCCAGGTGGGATTTTTTCACAGCTACCTGGAAGCACCAGCAATTCCCAGGTGGTTTTCCAGCCAACCCTGCTTTGACTCGTGGATCTGTTTGTCCTAAGGGCAATCTTGCAATTCCAAATACTTGATCAAATGTCTGGTTCTTTGGAAACCAAATTGAGTGTTTGCTATAATCTGTTCTGATCCCACAGTCTGCCACGCCTTTCCTCATCTTGGTTGTGACGATGGAGAGTAACCTCATCATCACCTACGTTGTAGCTGTTGCAGCTGGGATGAGTGTTGCTGCTGCCTTCCTTTTACCCTGGTAAGCATGAATTGTAGCTGGCTGGATAGCTCCGTGAGTTAAGTATCTGGCTGCAGATGTGGAGGTTGGGAGTTCGATTCCCTAGTGTGCCTCCTGGGAGAAGAACCAGCCTATGTGGCCTTGGGCAAACTTCACAATCCCAGGGCTCCGAAGGAAGAAGAGAATAGGAAACCCCACTTCTGAGTTTTCTCTACCCAGAAAATTCTGGTTAGAGTCGCTGTAAGTCAGAATTGATTTGACGACCCATCATCAATCATAGTACTGCATTTTCAGGGCTGAACGTCAATTATAGGTATATCTGTAGCAGCATGCTGGAACTCTCTGTGACAAAATGTATGTGGGAAACATGCTTTTCTAGTCGTTTGAATTTGCTTCTTTTCATTATTGTACAATCTGCGCTCTCTGCCTCCTTCCCTAAAAGATATAAACGGCAGGCATTTAACTTCCTACCTAATCCACGAAATGCTTTCATTCTTGATCGGAGGGTGTTTTGTATTTAGTTTGTTCAACCTAAGGGATCTCAAGGTAGGGGCACCACCAGTTCCACAGCCATTAGCATCATCTAATTTACCTGAGCCACAGGATTTATTGCAGTTTTGTGCTCTCACTTCCACCATGTGGTGACCCTAATAGGGTTTTTGAGGGAAGTGAATTGTTTAAGGAATGGTTAACCATTTCCATTCTGCTGTGAGTTTTCAGGGCCAAGCAGAGATTTGAACTCGGGTCTCTTAAATTCTTGCCCAATGATGTATCCACTACACCACACTGGCTCTGGTTTCCTTAATACTAGTTTTATATAAAACACTAAACCTTAATGAACCAAGCCAGAACATTTAGGATAGCAAAGGTTGATGGGGATTGGGACACAGAGCCTTAGGAAGGCTTCAGGTTGTTTATTTATTTGTAAAACAACTTTTATCATGCCCCCATGGGCCTCTTTTTCAAGGCGCTGATTCCCTTGCTTAGTTTCGGTATTATGGCAGGATCACAAGTTCCCAGGCTGTTCGCTGAGCCACGAACTGATTCAATTGTTTTAAGCACATTTCGTTCCTTGATGCAAAGAGGTAATAAACCTTCTAAACAAAGAACAGTTATTCTGGTTTCTCTTCAACTTGTACATGAATCTTTTATCATCTTAATCAACAATGAGAAACAACTTAAAGCAGCAGCTTAAAAACTACTGTATAGACCAGACTATATCATGAAACAGTGGAGAACAAGCTAAATGAGTTTCTAAAGGACAATATTAAAGCTCTTAATGAAAAAGTGATACGTGAATCTTGAAGTAGGCGCCATCTATCAATCAACAGAGAGAGTTTCATAAACAAATCAACTGTTATCAAGAAGGTGTCCTCGCTTGTGCTCCCCAACGGGACAGATTATATGTAGGGTCTTTGACAATTACCTCATGACTTCAGGATGGGTAACTTGCTGGATTTACAAGATCTAACCCTGACTCCAAACCGTTTACAGCATTAAAGGTTGATGCTGATGCTTTGAAGTGGGCTTAGCAATAGTTCATTGGCAAACCACATAACTGGCACAAGATGGCTGTTTCCAGATACCTGAGAGAAAATCAAGATGTTCGCAACTGGGTACTGTGTCATTTATCTCTTTCCCCTCTCGTTTGGAAGAGGGGGTGGTTGGGGACACCAATACAGCTTATGACCAGCTTACATCTCTCTTTTCACTTCCGCTTAGGTCCATGTTACCAGATGTCATTGATGACTTCAACCTCCAGTACCCAGATTCCGGGGGCCACGAAGCCATTTTCTTCTCCTTCTACGTCTTCTTCACCAAGTTTGCTTCCGGAGTTTCTCTTGGGATTTCCACACTGAGTTTAGAGTAAGCCTCTTCCCCTAATTTCTGGTTTTATCTGCAAGAACATAAAAAAATACCCTAGAGTGCATCAAACCATCAGTTGAGGAGAACTTCCCCAAAGGCTTCCTTGAAAAGGATTCTGAAGCTCTCAACCCTGAACACTTTGATCAACTACCTCCTAATCCTTTTTTTCTGATGTTACAGCATTGCTGGATACAAGACCCGAGGCTGCTCCCAGCCAGAGGAGGTGAATTTCACGTTGAAAATGCTGGTGTCAGCTGCTCCGGTGATTTTGATCATTCTTGGCTTGCTCCTCTTCAAGTTGTACCCCATTGATGAAGAGAGGCGGAGGAAAAACAAGAAAGCCTTGCAAGATTTAAGGTGAGGGTCCTGGTGATGGCATCTAGAAAAGTGAAGACACGGTAGTATGGCAGGAGAGCTGGACGACTAGATGTTATGGGGAACGTCTGCCCAGTCACAGTTGCAGAGATAAAGTGCCTCCGCAATCAGGCTTGCAAACTAAGCCTGTATTTACCCTCCAGTGACCAATTCCAAAGCACTGCACACTACATGCAAGAAGCCTAAGTGAGGAAAATCATGTGATTTTACAGACATCTGTCACCATTTCTGAAGAGCACCTTGCTGGGGGGGAGGGGATCAGATGAATGTATAATCTGGTTTGATTCTTCGACTGGCCATCTTAAAGGGACTTCTCGTACCCGGACTGTCATCCTACATCTGAGCTTAAACTGAAGGGGATGATTGCTTTTCATTTTAAATGTTTACTTAACCTTGTCATTCCTTTGCTTCGACAGAGATGAAGAAAGCAACAGTAGCACTGAGTCGGACTCCACAGAGCTGGGCAGCATCGTTTGACCCCCGCCTTGCCTTGGTTTATGGTTTACGCACTGGGATTCTTGGGAAACAGGGACGGCGAGGCTGCATCTGCCACCCTGGTGTCTGCTGTGCAGGAGGGAATACTGACTTGCTCCTATGAGGGAGTGCCTTATGACGTCCTTCCAGACTGCGCTGGAGAGCAAAACTCGGTATAAGTTGTGCCTTAACGTGGGATCCATGGCGTGCTGACTTCTGTGTGCATGCAGGGTGGTATTGGGTACGGATCGAATAAACACCCAAACCCAACGTGTCTCCTCCTGGAATGAGTTAGGAAAACCCATTTTGAGCCATGACTTTCTTCTGGAAGAGAGGATGCCACCTGCCACTAATCCAAGCTGGTACCACTAGCATTGAATGTGATGCAAGTTTTTGCAGTACTGTAAAGTTTGTGTGTGTATGTGCGAGCGTGTGCGTAGTTGCGTGTTTCATTTTTCTCTTACCATGGACCCTGATGGTGCTTCGTGGTGTATATTACACCAGTGGCATGACCTTACCGAACACAACTTTGTACTGTCCTGTTCTGTAAATAAGGCACAATGTAAAAAACAAACTGTGGTGTTGCTGGGTTTTATCTGTGGATCTATTAATATTAATTTACATTAAATGCAAAAATGTCATGTTCATTGTTCGGCTTTTTCTTTGTAGAAGGACCACAGACAAACTGGGATGTCAGACAGGGCATCTTTGCACAATTTCACATGAATTTTTTAAAAAAATTATTTGCAAAATTATTTTATTTTTTAAAATTTCTTGCAAAAATCTACATCTGACAGCACGTCTCAAAAAGACTGGTATCCTATTGACCAATTCAATATTTTTAGCCCGGCCCTTGGCCCAAAATCAGGTATCATTGCCTTTTTTATTGTGTTCTCCAGCTCATTCACCAAATCACAGTTTCTTTTGCCACATAGAAGTTTAGCTCAATATTTTTAGCCCGGCCCTTGGCCCAAAATCAGGTATTATTGCCTTTTTTATTGTGTTCTCTAGTTCATTCACCAAATCAGTTTCTTTTGCCACACAGAAGTTTAGTCCAGTATAATCACCAAATTCAAAGCCTTAAAAAATAATAATAACCCTCAGATCCGATTATTTTATTTTTGTTTTATTTATTTAATTAACTTATATGCCGCCCACACTACCCAAAGGTCTCTGGGCGGCTTACAGCATTTAAAATACAATAAAAAGGCAAAATAAAAGGGCAAAATAATTAAAATGCAGTTAAAATATATATTCTAAAAATTGCCATCAGACCCACAGCTGATATTATTTCAGTTAAAAGCCTAGAACAGGAAGGTTTTGACCTGGCGCCGAAATGTCATCAGCGTCGGCGCCAGACGAATCTCAGTTGGGAGGCATTCCATAGTCTGGGGGCAGCTGCCGAAAAGGCCCTTTCTCTACAAGCCCTCCCTCTTATCTCCTTAAGGGACGGCTCTTTCAAAAGGGCCCCCTGGTTAGATCTTAACTGCCGGGTAGGGTCATATGGAAGGAGGCGGTCCTTCAGGTATCCAGGGCCCAAGCCGTTTAGGTTTATGTTGTGCATCTGTGGCACTAAGGTGTGTGAAACCCTTCTCCAAAATGAACCCCCAAGGGAGTGTATGGTCATCACCATCTCGGGGGGGGGGAGAAAACGGATAAAATAAATTGAAAACAACCAATACAGTAAACAGCAGAACTCTATATTAAAAACTTAATTGAGCAATGAGGGGCACAGGAAAGAATCGGTGTTGTGATACAACAAGCTCTCTCAATTTCTCAGCAACCTAGAATCTCTTGGTGATGGGACATGTAACAGGATGTTTGCAGAAGATAGCTTAGTGGTTTAGGTCTCTGGCCATGGAGCCAGAGGTTGGGAGTTCTCTCCCCCATTGCACCTGCCTGACAGAGGTTCGGACCCTTCCAGCTCTGAGATCTCAGCCTGTAAATTCTGGTAGGTGCCATGTAGCAGTAAGTGATCTTTCAGATGTCCTAGTCCCAAAACCTTTAGCATTTAACCTTAAGTAGTAACACCCTGAATTGAGCCTGGAAACAAATGGGAAGCTACGGCCATCGGTGTGAGACCAGGATATCAAAACAGTATGCAGATAAAGAATACTACAACTACTATATCTTAAAGCTGTCTGATGACAGCACCAATTTGCAATGTCTGTGACACTCTTCAAGGGCAACCCCACATGAAACATGTAGCAGCAATTTAGATGGGAAGTTAGCAGTATGGATCCTTGTGGCCCCTGAAGCTGGTTCGGATGAATCTCTGTCACATTCTATAATCTTTGCAATGTGTTTATAAGGATAAATGCAGTCCAGACAGTATCTGTATCTGTTCAGAAGTGAGAATTACTATTAGGATGATAGTTTTTATTTATTTATTTATTTATCTATCTATTCATTCATTCATTCATTCATTGATTTATTTATTGAATTTCTACCCCACCCAAGTCTGGGCGGTTAACAATAAAAATGGCATAAAAGCGATATAATAAAATAGAGAACAATAATACAGTAATATCATTCAACATGGGGAAAAGATAAAAATAATCAAGTGATCAAGTGCAAAGGAATGAATTTCTCCTCTACCTATAGCTTTTAGTGGTAACACCAAGGCCAGAACCTGTCTGTGGAGAGTGTACTGTGAGCTAAAGTGTAAGAGTGTGCAATGATTACTTGCTCGGACTACAGTTCCCAGAATTCCAAAGCCACCTTGGCATCGCTTATCCACATTCTGCTCTCCCTGTTGTGTTAAAAAAGAGCATTTCTTGCGAAAGCTCAGTAAGATGGAATAGGCATCCTCTCCAGCCCACCTCCAGTCTCAGGGAGGTTTAGAGCACTGGAATGTCTTAATCCAGACCCCCTCCCCACCCTCCCCATCACTGTGCCCTGGTGTTCACTTAACCCTTTGACACTCTCTCAGTTCAGGCCTTTATGAACCTAACAAAGGTCCTATTCTTTTAAGATGCTTGTAGAAAAAAGAAGGAAAGGGGGCAGGGGAGAAGCAAGAAAGCTTTGGTTGCCAGGATTTCAGACTGTGTGCCGGAGACTGGAGAAATGCAGAGGGAGGGAAAGAAACCATTAACTTGACCTTACAGTGACATGAGACGGGGGGGGGGGGGGGAGATCCTACCCGGATGTTACAAGCAAATGATTGGATTCTGTACAACACCTCTGAGTAGTGTTTTAAATTTATAGTCCCTGTTTTTATGGGTACTGGCAGAGGGAAGATCTGTGAATGGTAAATCAGGAAGTATTCTGGGTTCAAAACAGAAAGGATGCATTTTTGTCTTTTTGTTTGAACTGCTGAAACAAGAGGACGGTTATTGAGGAGAAAAGAAGGGTGATTGAGGCAATTACATTAAGATACAAACTTAGTTCTGGTCTTTCACACAGCCAGGGAATATCAGAAGGTTAGCTACCCTATATATATTCTGCCTCCTACAAAACAGAACCTCAGTAAATCAATAGTATTTAACCCCCAGTGCATAAGGGAAGTATCCTTGTTCAGGTATCATGACCCCAATCATCATCATCTTAGAACTGCAGAGCTGGAAGGAATCCTATAGAATAGATCATCAAGTCCAGTCCCTGTCAAGGGGGCCCAGCGGAGAATCAAACTCCCAGCCTCTGCCTAAACCGCTGAGCAGTTCATGTTAACAGCCAATGTTACATATGAAGTCCAGCTTGATGCTGTTCTTGGTAGAAAATAAAGGATTCAGGTTTTAGTATCTGCTGAGCCACAAAACTCACTGGATATTCTTGCCTGTCATATATGTACCTCATGGAGCAACTGAAAACAAGATGGAGATGAGAAAAACCACGTACTGTATACTCATTAGAGGCAGCCAGAATATCACTATGCCAAGCTGATATAATAGACACTGTATGTCTTTTTCGTGCACATGATCTTCAAGAACGTGAACTTCAAGAGATCTACAGCTTGGCATAGATATTAAAGGGAGTGTGTGTCATGCAGTTAACTTGTTTTTAAAATGGGCAAATTAATTTAATGGAATTTGGTTAATAGGAATCTGTTATTTGCCTACTATACCATCTTCAGTCACAAGGTGGCAGTTCCTCTCTAATCAAGAATGGCCAAATTGAAGGCAGGCGTGGGATAAATACTCCAGAGGCCTGTAAGCAGTCCACGTATACCCTCCTTTCGTAGCACCTCCAAATCCATACAGTTTGCAGACAGAAAGACACAGAGCTGCCATGGGCGGGAGAGTGAAAGGCTAAACATCCATAGAGATGGGAAGAGAGAGAGAGAGAGAGACAAGTGAGAAATTCTCTAAAAGTGGGGGAAAGAGGAGAGGGTGAGAGGCTAAGAGGTTTCCAAGCCACATGATGATGCTGCTTCCGTTAGTGAATGGCTAAAAAACAGGACTTTACTGTGAGCCCGGAATCACGCTGTCAACGGGTAAAGCTCTTTTTGTAGTGCCTCTGATGAATTAGCTCTAGTTTATTAAAACTCAGGCTATAATAAATTAGGCTAATCTCTAAGGTGCCAACAACTCTTAATTGATTTTCTGCAACAGAATCCATAGGGGGCCCTCTCCCCCTGCTACTAATCACCTGAGCTAACTAATGATGAACTCGGGTGAGTTGACAATAGACCGGGTGGCCTTGTGTGTAAAGCAGAGAAAATTAAATGGTGGGTTCCGCCAATCCATTATGGCCTTGGTGATCCATGATTGGCAGATGCCATCATACCACCGAGTGCTAGCCCACTTGATCAATAATTTCTTGTGCTACTCAGACCAGTATTTCACCACTAGGCTAGGCATAGTTCATATAACATCTTCATCCTTGCCAAATGACCAGGGTGATGGCAGCAAGGATGAAGAGCGGTGCTCCTCCAGAAGATTTCTTCAGCTGCAAGTCCCATCAGTCTTCATGCACAAAGCCAATGGTGAGGGTTCAACAAAGGGGTAGCCTGGTGGCCTTCCCCATTTCTGCCATAAGATGTTGCTGGATTCGTTGCTACATGTGGCATTCTGAGTCATCACGGTGGCCATTTATCAATTCAGGTCTACTGTGTACCTTAGACTTGGTGGCCCACTCTGGCCTTCTGTGCTTCCCCTGCTGATTAAGCCCCCTTGCTAATGATAGTCTCATTTAAAAAGAACATTTTCTATGAAATATTCCCCCTTTGGAAAAGACTGAAACGAAAGTTTTCTCCTGTTGCTGAGTTACTGGATGTCAGAGCTTCCACCTAAAATAGTTTTGCTTGGACAGCGGTTTGACTCTTGCCTGAGAAAATGTCCTTCAAGGCTGAAAGAGCCCCTCATCCCTTCATGTACCTCATTCTTTTCCAGACTTTAATCCCAGAGATGTGGAAGCTGATGGACACCATTCAGGAAGCTGTTACGGTGGGTGTGTTTTTAAGTCTTGTCTTAACATTGAAACTAGGATTCGGCCAGCTAAGCCATTGGCCTATGCCAAACAGAAGGGGGGAAAACTCCCCCAAGAAGACTGGAATATGTCAGGAGCTGATGGGGCTTATTAAGGGCTTATTTTCTTGGTCATGAACAAGCTCTCCAAGCTTAGGTTGAATGGGGGCTCTTGATACCTTTCCTCATGGCAAGAC